TTTTGATGAAGAATGCCTAAAAGCTTTTGAGTTATTAAAAGAAAAATTAGTCACTACAACAATTATAATTTCACCAGATTGGGAAAAACCTTTTAAATTAATGTGTGATGTCAGTGATTATGCTATTGAAGTTGCTTTAGGACAAAGATATGATAAAATTTTTAAAGTAATTTACTATGCTAGTAAAACTCTTCATGAAACTCAAATTAATTATACAACAACTTAAAAAGAGTTATTAGCAATAGTTTATGCTTTTGATAAATTTAGATCATATTTAATTAGAACTCATTGTGTAGTGCATACAGATCATTCTGCTATTAAGTAATTAATGAAAAAGAAGGATGCTAAGCTAAGACTTATAAGATGGATTCTTCTTTTGCAAGAATTTGATTTTACAATAGTAGATCGAAAGGGGAGTGAAAATCAAATTGTTGATCATTTGTCTAGGCTTGAATTAGAAAAACCACTCTATTTTGAAAAAGAAAATAATGAATATTTTTTAGATAAAAATTGTTCACTATTAATGAGTGGTGTTTTCCGTGGTATGCAGTATTATGAACTCTCTTGTTAGTGATATTATACCTTATGGAATGATATACTCACAGAAGAGGAAATTTATACTGAAGCTAAGACTTATTTTTTGGATGACGAATTTTTATGTAAACAAGGAAAGGATATGATTATTCGAAAATGTGTACCATTAGAAGAAACACCATTAGAAGAATGTGTACCATTAGAAGAAACCTATGAAATTATCCAAAAATATCATAATTCTGATTTTGGGGGACATTTTAGTGTTGATAAAACAACATACAAAACTTTACAATCTGTTGGCCATTACCCTATAATTTTTAAAGATGTTAATCTTGTGATAGATGTCAAAGAGTAGGCAATATTTCTAGAAGAAATGAGATGCCCCTCAATTATATGCTAGAAGTTGAAATATTTGATGTTTGGGGATTAGATTTCATGGGACCATTTATACCACCTTTCGGGAATTTATATATACTGTTAGCAGTGGACTATGTATCCAGATAGATTGAAGTTGTTGCTTTACCTCAATGTGACGCTCAAAGTGTTGCAAAATTTTTGAAAACAAACATATTTTGTAGATTTGGGATGCTGAGAGTTAACATTACTGGTGGGGGAGGTCATTTCAGAAATGTCATAATAGAGAAGTTATTAAGTTATTAAAGAAATATCATATGTTAAAGAAATATCATATGAATCATAGGATTACTACTGCTTATCATCCTCAGACAAGTGGTTTGGCTGAATTATCCAATCAGGAAATTAGAAGAATTATGGAAAAAATCTTAGAATTCAACAAAAATGGATTGGCAGTCAAACTTGACTATGCTTTGTGGGCTTATAGGACTGCATATAGAACTCCTATAGGAATGTCCCCATATAGGCTAATATTTGGGAAAGCTTGTCAATTACCAGTTGAACTTGAGCATAAAGCATATTGGGCAATTAAAGAGTTCACTTATAATTTGAAAGATGCTGGTGAGAAAAGATTATTACAATTAAATGAGCTTGAAGAGATAAGGAATGAATCTTACAAAAGTGCTAAGATTTATAAAGAAAAGATAAAGAAATGGCACGATCGAAGGATTCTTACTAAAAATTTTCAGTAGGGGCAACAAGTTTTGCTATATAATGCAAGGTTATGATTATTTCCAGGCAAATTTAAGTCCAAGTGGATGGGCTCATTTGTTGTGATGAAAGTTTATCCTTACGGAGCTGTGGATATTAAAGATTCTAAGACTGATAAAGTGTTTAAAGTGAATGGTCTTAGACTGAAACCTTATTTTATAGGGGATCAACATAAATTTAATGAATGAATGATGTTGGGTCAATCAGAATAAGCACTGGTTACTTTGGGCTGATGACGTTAAACCAAGCGCTTTGTGGGAGACAACCCATAGTTATCAGTGTATTTTGCTTTGATTATCATTTGTCTGTGATTAAGAAAAATTGGGGTAGTATTTTTGAGCTATTATGTGTTAGTATTGATTTTAAGACTTTATTTAGTAACTTAGACATGTTAAAATGAGAATTTGGACGTTAAGTTGACCGGTGCAAAAATGTGCACTGACACTTAAGTGTCAATATTCGGCGTTTAAGCGCGACAGTTAAAAACACACGTGCTAAATTAAGATTCTAGAAGGTTTAACTGCTAATTAGTTTGTAAAAACATGTCAAGGCAGTTCCTAGACGTGCCTAGAAGTTATTTGAAAGATTTAGGCCTATAAATAGAGGGGTTTAGTGAAGGAATTTCCCCCCATATCATTTTTAGCCCTAAAAGTCTAAGAGAAAGCGAGATTTAGAGAAAATGTCTTCATGGGAGATGTATTTGAAGAAGAAGGAAGAGACCATGAGGAAGAGATTCATTAGTCAAGGTGCACAACAGATGTATAACGGTTTCTTAGCCGTTAGTATCGAAGGAATATCGGAAAAGATCAACAAAATTGAGACTACCATAGCTTCACTTGAGACCATGGTAATTGAGATTCATGCACATCTTGAGCATATTGAATGGCAATTGAAAATGTAATTTAGCCATACTAGTTATATAGAGGAAGCATATAAGGAGATATTTCATAAGCAGAAATGGATTGAAGAAGATAGTATCAGAGCACGTCACCACCATCCGTTTTATCAACTTTATATTCCGATTGCCCTCGGAGAGACTACTGAAAGACCAGAGTTTGTCCCATCAAATGAAGAGTGGAATAAAGTTCTATGTTTGAGTTTGTTTGTTTGGAGTTGTTGTGTTTATATGTTAGTGTTTGTTTTTAGTGTTTATGACTTTTTATGAGTTTAATTGTGTATGTTTGTTAGGTGTTTGTATTTAGAAAATTTTCTCATCCGAGACTATTTAGAGTGAGAATTAAGTGTTATATGTACTTGTTATTGTTTGTGAATTAATATATGTGTTTGGTTGTGTGATATTTATGTTATTTTTAGCCTCAAATTGAATTGAGTGATAAAGAGAATTTTGAGAGAAAGGAGAGTTGTAGGAGATGAAAATAGTCATTTAAGTGTTATAAGACTATTTAGGGGTGGTGTACTTAAAGAAATAGTGCATTTTACTTAAATTTAAAAATCTCAAAATCGTGCACTGGCACCTAAGCACCACATATCGCACTTAAGTGCAAGCTAACCCAAGAGGCAGACACCTAAGCGCCACTTATCCGCGTTTAAGCGCCGATTCACGAAAACCGGTTCGCAAATGGTTAAAAGTGAAAATTTGAGCTGAAAATCGCCATTTTTATCCTCCCGTCACCTTCAACCTCTAGAAATCGCGATTTTGGAGAGCTAGGGCACACCATTAAGTTGAGATTTCTTGGTGGAATTAAGAAAAATTTGCTAGATTTAGATTTCTTAAGATAAGTGCTTTACTTCTATGCAAAAATTTTGGATTTTCACCATGTATTTTGAGTACATTTGGAAGAATTCAAAAATTCACTAGTCATAGTGAAAAATGAAGAAAAATCTATGAAAATTGCATAGGAAGTGTAGTTTAAGCTTTTGGAAGTTTAGTTTAGTAGTTTAGACTTGATTTTTGAAGTTATTTTTTGAATTTTATAAATTTGTAGAATGTCACCAAGAATGAAGAGTAAAGGAAAGAGCCCTTTTGATTCGAGCAAATTTGTTAGTTCGAGGGCTCAAGATAGGTACAGTGATGTGTTGCAATCATGAAAGCTTATTTAGGAGCATTGGTTTAAGAATCCAGGTGGATCTGTGGAAGATCTGATCGTTCGCCGACAGTGGGAATGATTCTGTTTTTTTTCTACTGTTGCAGTGATACGTTGAGCAAGGAAGAGTTCAGAGTTTCTAAGAGTGTGGGTTCTGTTTCCTTTTCTAGTTTTCTAAGAATAGTCATCAGGAAAACTCTATGGCTAGACCCTAGGCTACTAAAGAGGGAAAACTAAACCTAAACTAAAAGTGAGGTCAACAAGTAGGAAATCAGCCCCCTCCAAGATTAGAACTATTCATATGAGGTGGTACTAACGCATAACAACATGAGGTCAAACAACGGTGCTCAGGGGGTCAGAGACTGCAGTATCAAGATACTGCGGGATTTGCGCAGGTGGAGAGGCAACAGTTAGGGTGCACTGAGACGTCGCTCCAACCAAAGAATCATTTCTTCCTCCATATCTTTGAAGCGGAGAAGCTAGAAATATTAAGATTGTCGGCTTTGAAGGCTTACAGGGGGCCGTCAGATCCCATTGTCCGTATCGCTAAATTTGAGTCAGACATTTGCTTATTGAAGATCTCAAACACAATCAAGTGTAGCATGTTTTTTACTACTTTATGGTTGTTCACCCTTAAGTGTTTCCATGCACTTTCAGTTGGGAGCATAAAAAACTTTGCTGATTTCAGGAGCTTGTTCTTGACACAGTTTATTAGTGCCCGGAAACCCATCAAGAGCGTGCAGTCTTTGTGGCAGCTCAAGCAAGGTTAGCACGAGTGTCAGCACACATTCATTGCACTCTTCCAGAGAGAAATGTTGGAGGTGAAAGACCTCAAAGTCGGCACGTCAAGAATAGACCAACAAAAGACCAGCTGAAGGTGGTAGGGAGATCGAAAACTAAAAAATTAGAAGAACTAAAGAGGTTAGAATAAAGAAGACCCTTCTGGTTAAAAGTCGGGGCAAAGCCAAGAATAGATCTAGAAAAGAAGAAATTAAAGGAGGAGAAGAAGAATTCTGGAGAAGAAAGAGGTGCAAAGGCCCTAAATCAAAGAAAGACACCGGTTGAAGATCGAAGCCGAAGGTGCTAGAGTTTTAACCAATAAAAAGATAAAAAGAAACGAGAAACCCAAAATACTCAGCGGCAGAGCTATCTAGAAAATCTCTGCTAGTTAGTTCTTTATTGCCCCAATGTTTGCTATTTGTTTCTTCCTTAAATTTTAAAAATTTGAATTAAATAGAAAATGTTATTATTTATATATATTTATATACATGACGGTAGACTGCAGTCCATCACGACACTTTTCTAATCAAAGTTTTCAGCTTCCGAAAATCACGTGCTTCAAAATACGCGGCCAAGAACTCGCGGCGTGGGCGCTCTCCCTCCCTGTAAAAATATTTTCTCTCGTTCGGCCATAGAATTCGTCACTCGTTGTCAATTAGGCTGTGAATTCCATTCGCCCGATATAGAATTCGCGGACCATTTGCGCGCCTTCACGTACGAGATGACTTGTATTCTCCCGCTTTAGTCGCTGTCGCCGGTGGAGCTTGATCTTCTTCCTTCCATATGGTAGGTACCTTAAATCCGAAGCTTTCACGTGCTCTCTGTTCTCTGGATCTCGTCAAAAGTTGTTACCTTTTTTACTTAGGATGACTCGTCTCACAGGTTGCTACTTGGCCCGGTAAGTAACCTAAGTGCCGACTGTTCTCGACATAATTTGAAGTCTGTTGAATGTGGAGAAAAACGTCATAGTACAATGAATTCTTTACTGGTTGCAGATGAAATGCGCTTGGACTAGTGCTGTGGAGAACTCGTTATGGAAGATTCTGCATTCACTCGAGGCAGTGATAATGCTGTTCTCTCCGAAAAATTTCTCACATCCACCAACCAAAATTGTGGGGAGAAAGAGATTACTCCAGTTCCCTTTGGAAATTTTATTAATGAGTCTTGTACGAAAGCTGAGAATGGGTGCCATGGTCCTTGTAGATCAACTTACCCATTAGGTATATTTTTCCAGAGCCTGCTTTCTTTCTGTATTGATTTTGTTAACTTGACTATTCAGAACCTTCTCTCCATTTTTCTGAACTTAAAGCAGAAATTCTTCGCATTTTGTTGTCATATTGTATGTGCATAATAAACATTCTTAAAACTTGAAGGACAGATCACCTGCTTGGCGCTCTCTGGATCTAAGCCGGACCCGTGTGTGCCTCTGCGGCAGGCGTTGGACTTCGGTGGATTTATGTTGTTGCAGCTAGTTAAGCTCCATAAATCTCAACAATCATCCACTTGGAGACTTGATTGCACCCGACACTTCTCCAGATCTGTAACTCCATCTGTACTATCTTTTTAGTTGTGTATGGTAGTGTGACTTATACTTTTGATCTCAACCTTCCTGAACTTTAAATGAAGCAAAACATAGTTTTAATTTCTTAATAATCACCACCTTAGTTAATATATCTGCAGGATTCTTAGCTGGGTCTATTTTCTCCAAGAATAACTGCTCTTTTTTTTATAAGAGTAGAAATATAATGATACCCCAGCTGAATATGCTTTGTTCTGAAATGAAAAATGACATTCTTTGCAAGATGAATAACACTTATACTACTACTATAAAGCTTTTCAATCTCCTGCTTCTTGCTCAGTTTGGTCATAAAGCTGTGCAGTCAAACCATCTCCTCACTAGGCTCAGTTATAGCAATGCATTCAACTTCTATAGTTGAAAGTGCAACAATCTTCCAGCCTAGAAAATCCAACATACTCTTTTATTTAGTGAAGATATTACTTATTACACTTTTGTCAAAATAACTCACAGTTGTGTTTCTTTTGCTATTAAGCACAACACAACTCTGACAGTTGTTATCTTCATTAAAGGAGAAAAGATCTTTGTATTTCACTTCCTCTTTCTGCTAAAATCTCTTCACTCGTGCCTTGCCATGCAGTGTCTGTTACCATATGACTTCTTTTTCAGCATATAAACCCACTTATTGTGTAGTGCTCTTTTTCATCCGGTGATATCACCAAATCCCATGTTTGATTTGACCTTAATCACTGCATCTCGTCATCTTTGAGAAACTCTCACCCCTTAGAATCTTCAACTTGAGTGATCTCCTTATAGCACTCTAGTTCATCACTATATGTTAGCAATAAATAATATAAATAAGGAGAATAATTATGTACCAGTCTTATCACTCCGCTGTACTGCATGACTTTAGCAACACACGATTAAGAAATTTTTTGTACTTGATCTGATTAAACACTTTTTCTTTCTTCATCTTCATGATCATTAATATCTTTTATCTCAATATAATTTGATTCTTCAGAAGTAATTGACGGGCAATTTTGAGTTCTGCTTTTATTCTTGTACATCTTGTTTCATCTAAAGTGGCATCCCTATTTATGATTAACTTCTAATATGATAGTCCCAGAGTTTGTGCTTAAATTTATTTGGTCATAGACAATGAAAGTGCATTTGACAGATTTTAATTCAAGTTTATTATCGAACTCTGTATCAACATGAACATAGGTAGAATAATCAAATACCTTCATATAAGATAAATTTACTTTTTTTTTACTTTAGGCTTGTTCAGGTAAGCCTTCATTCAAATGTGCTGACGGACCTCAATTGATTAGATAAACAACAATGTTCATTGCTTCTGCCTAGAATTGTTTTGGCAAGCCTGCATGCAAACGCTTAATGATGTTTTTATTCATGCGCTCAGCTACACTTTCTATTATGGTGCCTTTAGATCAATAACCTCATGCCTGGTCCCCTCTGATGCACAATAACATCTGAACCTTTGATAACGATATTTGTCTTCATCATTTAATCTTCTGCCTCATTTTTTACCCCGGCCTTCCACTTCTTAAATGCCTCAACTACATCAAATTTTTATTTTAAGAAGTGAACTTATATTATTATGGGTGTGATTGTCAACGATAGTGACAAAATAATGAGATCGATTGAACTGAAGTAGGATTTCATACATCAAAATGCACTAACTCTAGCTTCTTTTGCTTTTGGAGAAAAAAATTTTCTATGCTTTTCAAATATGCAATTTTCATAGAAATCTAAATCTACAGAATTTAATCATTTAAGTTTGTTCTTAGAAAGTGGTGACTTCAAACTTTTCTCATTTATATTTCCAAGCTAGCGGTGCCGAAGTCCCTCATCAACTTTGATTTAAGTCATATCAGTAGATTTTGTCATCTCATTTAACCGGTAAAAAGCGCATTCAATCTTTCCTTGAGCCATCACCATTGCCCTTGTTCACATTTCACGAATCACCTGTGAAAGCAGTCATGTACTTTAACTTTTGTCAGCTGGCTTACCGAGATAAGATTTCTCTTCATATTTGGAGCATGTCTAACTTCACTGAGCTTCCAGACTATTTCATTGGCTCATTTGATCGCATCATTGCCTTTCTTAGGATAATACATGTCGTTTTATCTCCCAAATAAATCATTTCTAAATCATTTTGAGTGTAGTTTTTAAACTTATCTTTATTGGGGTATGCATGAAAAGAAACATCTGAATCTGTTATCTAATATTTAGTACTGACTAAGAATAAAACCAGGGATTCACATTGAATTTTGTTTGTGGAGAGATTTGTAGAATGATTCGTATCTTGGCTTCTATCACTAACCTTCTTTGGAGCTTTGCAGTTCTTTTTGAGATGACATTTCTTGTTGCACTTTCAATATTCACTTCTGCCATTTCCTCTTCCTTACATGGACTTTCCTCTTTTGGACTTGGACTTTCCTCTTTTCGACATGAATCCGTCTCTGCCTATGATCATGTCCAGATTCCATCGTCTATTTTCAACATTCAACAAGAAGCTTGAAGATTCACCACTCGTTGCCTTTTTCTGTGAATCTCTTCATTCAACACTAACGACACGATGTCATCAAAGTTCAACTTCATATTACCAGAAGGGTTTCTCAAAGTTCGACAATGAAGATATAATTAAAAGTGCATTGACATCATCATTAAACTTGATGCTCACAAACACAACTATCTTATCACAGTTTTGAAACTATTCAAATATTTAGCCACCGAACTCTCTTACATCATCTTCATGTTGAATAATTTCTTCATCAGAAAAATCTTACATGACGTTGAAGGTTTCTCATACATTCTTGTTAGTTCCATCATGAGATCTATTGTAGTTTTTTTTCATTCACTATGTTGAAAACATATGAGGAAAGTGAAAGATGGATTAAACTTAGGATTGTTCGATCAATCACTTCCTATTCTTTTGGAGTCAATCACTTCAGGCTTTTTGATGTTTCCTTCTAGTGGCACATTTAGCTTCTTCAATACAACAAAACTTCCACATGCATTTTCTATAAGCAAAATTCGATCCATTAAACTTCTCCACCTTGTATCTTTCTTTGTCGGCCATTGCTCTCACTCGAATCAAAGATCTTTGGAAAAGAAACCTCGCTCAACTAGGGATTTGATCAATTAACAATCGATACCACACCGCAAAAAAATATACTGATTCTAGAGATCTAGAATAAAATTTGAATAGAAGGCACAACAAAATACAAAAACAAGACATCTAAGATTTAACGTTCAGAAATACAAGAACTGGAAAAGAACCATGATACCAGACCATACCAAAATTTCACTATGAAAATTAAAGGAAATGCACAAATTTTACACTTTGATCAACTCTACTTTTGGAACTTACAATAACATCAGGATGCTTCTCTCTCAATCACACGAGAGAAATCCCCGCTCTGCACAGAAGCGCTGCCGAGGAATTCCCTTGCAAGAGTCCTTCACGTACAAGGGTTCTTCACACACTTAGCGAGAGAGCCCAACCCTTCGTGAAAATGAAGGATTTAAAAAATCCTTCAACTTGAGAAACCGCCCTAGGCATGGGGATGCCGCGCCCTCTGGGTCCCGGTGCGGGGGCTCTGTGAAGTAGATGCTGGGGTCCGCACTCTCTGGATCCAGGCACGAGGACGTCGTGTCTAGCACTGTGCGCCTCCATGAGGTGCTGGAATGCGCTGCTGCAGGCGCTGGACTTGTAGGATTTCTGCTTTTGAAGCCCATCAAACTCACCAAATCTCAACTAGAATTGTGTCATTAGATTCCATTATTTGCCTCTGGACCTCTACCAACATGTCAACTTGCTTACAATTATTCTAGCTTTCAATTAGTGTTCGGAGTTAGAAAAATTTGTTTGAAAAAGGACTTATATATTGAATTTGTCATTTCGCTGAATTTAGTTAGGAATGAATGTTAGTTTTGAAGACGAAAAACTCCTACAATTTTCATAAAAATTGATGATTTTATTTTACACATGTGAGTGAAAACATAGTCATCATTTTCATTTTCTAAAACGTACTCTTTTTTATCTGCTGGCTACCAATGAGCCTTTAGTTGTGTGGCATTCTGACTAGAACTTGTACAACACGTCTGCAATTCTGATCAAACACCACATACTTTGAACAAACAAATATTTGCTTTGTCATGTTAAATCCTTCAAATATTCCCTGGTATTTGCAATTTCTTCTGTGCGTAAAATTTGATCCGTGTTTGGATTTTTTTATAAAATATGAACGCAATATAACTCCCATAATGACTTGATAGTGTGTTGCTTCTCCAAATCTGAGAAAATCCAACTTTACATCAGCTTGTCTGTCAGCAGAAGCCCTTAGAAGTGTCGAGACTGGAATGTCTGACAGGGTAGTGCAGCCTGCTCCCACAGAAAGAACAACCAACGCAAGCACAGGAAAGATAACAGATTTCTCTAGCTCCAATCATCTGGTAAAAACATGCAGCAGATGGGTTAAGCGTCTCCAGCACAAGGATTCTGAAACTCTTTCTCCCTGCACTAAAAGGTACAAAAAGTGTGATTTTTCTTCCAGCGAAATGCAGAATATGCACAGAAGTAGAATGCAGAACTATTATACAATGAGCCATGATGTCAATAGATGCATGGATGAACACAAAATTGAGAAAACTATGACTTTCTCAGAAATTGGCAGCTCTTCTTTAGGTGAAATAGAAGAGGTTTTACAATCATGGATTAGGAGATGGCGCTGTAATGGTCATCAAATATGCCCAGCTGCATCAATGCCAATCGCACCAGTGGCATTCAACCCATCTGAGAAGTTAGAAGGTAAAAAAATTGCAAGCATTGAAGCAATGGCATTAATGGGAAAGGCAATAAATAAGTGTAGGCCGTGTAGGATTCGGAGACGGGAGGCATCTTTAGAATGGACTTGTTAAGAATGGCATTGTAGTTGTCAAAGAAAAGTTGGTATTTTGCTTTCTGAGTGGTTAATGGCTAGGGAAAGTATCAAACAATGGCAGCTGGGCAAGAAAGGTTGCTGTTTTGAGATCTGGCAGGCAATCAAAGTTGGCAGTTGTGTGATCCAACTTCTTTTGTTTTGAATTTTAAACCTAAAACTTTAAGTTTTGTCTTTTTTTTTTTTGTAAAAAGTGAGAGAGTGGAACTATTCATGGTTATTTTGGACTTTTTAAAATTAATTGCACTATTTATTAACATCTCAAAGTAATAAGGTTGTTCTTACAATTTGTGAAATGTTCTCATGATAAGTTTTACATTCAATTTTCACTCTAAGGAAATGTTAAAGTTGATGATATAATCAAGTTAAATTTGGAGGTTTGAGAGATTAAATTGAATACTTAAAGAAATATGATGCTAATACTCTTGCATCTAAAAATTTTATATATAGTATTGATATTTAACTCCATATTATTCCTTACCAACATTTATGTTTAGGTGCTTGAAGAGAAAAATGGAAAAAATGGGCATTTACATACATAACACACAATTCTTATGTACTGAAATATCTAACACCTGAACTCACATATTTACATGCATAGCACTCTAATCTTTAAAATCACATTAAAAATATCACTGCTATCAACTTTTAAAATGGGAAGTGCCCTTTTTCATAGAGGGGTTTATGACACCAAAATGTTTTGATAAATAGTATACATGTAAATTTTCTAAAAAAAAGTGATAACAAAAAGGCCTTTTGTTGTATTAGATATCTCCTTCATAGGCTCCAACCTATTTCAGTCATGTGAGAAACATGGAAGAGAGAGATGAGGATAAACTTGGAGGATCATTTCGCGCACATGTAATAATTATTTCTCTTATCGATTGGAAGATGTTTTGGGTAAGGCAGATAACTCTGCTTGAAGACCTAGTTGTTGTTTTAATATTTAGGTATAGTTAATATATGCAATCCACTAAAATGTTTTAAAGCTGAAAGGTTTGCAATTACGTTCAACAAATGGAACACAATGTTTAGAAATTATAGTGTACTGATAAGATGAGCTATACACTTTGAAGTTGAGTACACATTGTTTAGAAATAACATGTTGGATATATGTCCTAGTCTTATTATAAATTAAGCCTAGTAGAAGCAAAGGAAAGGACTTCAATTAGAATAAAATTTAGCCCTATTTCGGGTTTTGGACTACAAAAAAATATATGATCAATGAGCTTTGAAATCTACGTATGATATGAGCTAAGATATATAAGAATGTTGTTTAATTATGATGTAAGCCCAATAAGTAAGGACACACCTTATTAGAATGTAAGCCTGATAAGATGAAAAAATCTAGATCTAATTATGATATAAACCAATAGAACTAGAAGGCATGGGTACAATTATGATGTATCCTTGCCACATAAATGGAAAATTGAATATTTTCTACTAAGATATAAACTTAGGGGGCAAAGGATTTTGAATCATATTATAATGGTAATAATCACTATGGTTAAATACGAAATGTTTAGTATGACATAAGCTTTGTGATAACAAGAGATGTAAATCTAACTTTGCTAAAAGTCCAATACAGTTAGAATATAATAAATTATGAGTATTCAAAAGAACAAGGATATTTGGATTGAATTTTTTATTTTCAATTAACTCTAGAAAAATATTTTAAAATTTGGACTTCTCTAAGAAAATAATGTGATGCTGCAAATCATGGTGCACCTAAGGTGAGACCCATTAACACAAGAGATTGACCAAGCTAGAGCCTACAAGCACTAGTGTGAGACATACTATAAGAACCCAATATAAAAGAGTTGTTGACATTCAAATGGTCTATTTATCAGGTGCCAAGTCAAATGATTATTAAAATGAAGGTCGATCAAATTGAAATATTTTTATTGTCATTAATATTTGCATTTATTGTATATTTAATGCAAACACTTAATTGTTTGTTTATGACTTTATTTCATACAGGTCCAAATTCTTACTTATTTATCATTTCTTATGCTTGCATATAAATTAAAGGGAGGGGGAGTGGGGTGGTGAAAGCAAGGGAGTGAGAGTAATATTATATTGACCAAACTTTTCTTTTTTATATTTGGAGTGAAGAGAGGTGCCTTTTGGGAAATAAATATTTTGTATGAGATTCTTAATTTTAGAAGTAAATGAGAGATGATATTTTATGCAAAATTAAAGTTATTCCAAGGTCATTAAAGGTTGCTCACCGGTTTGCCTTAACAAGGGTTTGAGTGAACTTTTGTTCTCCTTATTTTTTCTTACAAAATATCATTACATTATTGCAAATTTTATTCTAAAGTTAGCATTATTTTTATGAATATATTTTTCTATTATATTTCAAAATGAAAATCAAAAGTTTTCCATCCAATTCCTATCCTAAAGTCTAATTGAAGAGTTAATCAAGTAGTTGAATTTTGGACTAAGTTTATAGTCTCTTTCAATTGATTGAGCAATTACATCCAAAATTATTCATATAACTTAATCTCATATTCTTCTACAATATCCCTATTTTATTTGGGAAAATTGTAATCAAAATTCTTGAGAATTAAAGCCCTAAAGTGTAAAAACAAGTAGTTTGTAATTTTTACTTTTCTTATTTTTAGTTATTTATTTTTATATTGAAAAATATTAAAATTCAAGGAAAAACTTTAAAAATTTTCATAGCTTAAAATTAAAGTCTTATTAATATTCTTTGAGAGAAATATTTGAATGTTTGTGTGCTAAGGAACCAAGCACAAGAGTTTTGAAGGTTACCGTAATCACTTGTGACTGAGTATGACAACAAGCAAGCAATAGTATATCACCATGACGTATGAAATATTATCCTACTATGGATCCAATCCTGAAGTGAGTTCTTCAAAACTCAGTGGGGATAGGAACCATTTTTTATCCTATCCTAAAATAATAGAGTTTATTTTAATTTTTTGGTCTCATATATTTAAAGAGACAAACTCCTTTAGTAATTACATCTTAAGAAATAATACTTTTTAAGAAAACTTTAGATTAAAATAGTGACTAATCATATGTGTAGACTACAATATCAGATATTCAAGACTGTTGTTCAGAATTTTAAAGGGGAATGACTCGAGTTTGGAGTAGTTCTTATTGGAGGTTAACAAAAGAAAAATAGGGAGTAACAGATACTGGGAGGCCTAGTGGTAACTTAAGTCAATCCTAAAGTTAGGATTTATAATTTTGAAAGTTAGGAGATTTTTATTTAAGTTGAATAAACTTTGAAAGTTGGACTTATATTCGATAGAAAGAGTCATTTAAAAGCCTATGAGAAGTTAATTCTACAATGGAACTGACAGGATAACCTCAGAACCTATACAAAGGTGAGCCCTACCGTTAAGGTAGAGGCATGAACACAGTATGACTCTCTATGACTTATAACCCTCCTAGTATAGGTTTGCCAGCTAACACCTCTTGTGCTTTAAAATCATGAGGCTAGTCAATGTATTTAAGAGTGATGGGTTATTGTTATTATGATAGATGTATGGAAACTTGTAACTTAATCATATGATTGAGTTATAAGTATATCTATACATATTTTATCATTTAAAACATTAAATTTTATTATTAAATGTAAAATGATGCTAGTTTTGTTGACCAACTAAAAAATGCTAAATTTGATCAATCACAAACGATCGATCAAAAATGCTCATTTGTTATATTTTTTAGTGAGATTTACTGTGTACTGTAGGCAAAATAAATGTAATGCAAGTTCTTATATGGTGCATGTTAGAAGAGTCATTAAGGCTAATAAATATGAAAGTCAGATTCACTTCTTAAAGGAGGTGATTCTCATAGGCCTAATCCCCCTTCTGTGAAATGACTGAAGGTCTAAAGATATGAAGAGAAAGTACAATATGATGCTTTTCATATGTTAATGGCTCACCGTAACTATTAAATTTTTTAATTAATTTTAGTTAAGCTTATTAGTATTAAATGTTTGGCAATGCAATGACTACTGGTGTCAAATGTAAATATTTAATTAAGTTATGAGTTTTGTTATTTTAATTTTAGTTTTAAGTTTTATTTTTTTAAAAAAAATTAAGTTAAAGTTGATGTTAAGTAAAAATTCTCTCATTCAAAGAGCCTAACCTGATACAAGCCTAATTAGACACACAAACATAGAAAGAAACTTAGGAAAAGTTAGATATTTCTAACGTTAAGCAAGCATACAAGAAAAGAAGTTAATCAAGAAAAAATCAATAAAGAAAGTGGGGCAGCTAAACACTGTTAAGCCTAAAAAGAGAAAAAAATGAGATCGTAAAGCATCTGCCCCTCATATAGCCAAGCCTAGACCTATAACCATCTCATTGGTGGCCGATACACCAAAAATATATGCATATTTAGACCTATTTTTTATACTCATTTTTTGTGATATTGCGTTTTAAAGGAAGATATTTTTCATGTTTTATTGTAGGTTGTTGATTTTTAGGACTTGAAGCAAAAATGAAGAAAAAAGGATGGAATTTGAAGTCAAAATGGCATTTTTGAGGAAATACTCAGTGCCGATGGCGCCAGGATAGACGCCAACGGCGCAAACCTACAGAACTGAGGCCAGAATATACTCAGCGCAGACGGTGACAGGAGCAGCGCCAACAGTGCCAAGAGCAGCATTGATGGCGCCATTTGACATAGAGCACGAAATTAATTCATGGGCCCCTGGCGCCGACGGCGCCAATGTCAATGCAAGACCTATTTCTGGAAGATTTGATGAATTTGGATGCTTTTTGAAGAGTTTTTGGATGCACCTATTGGAAAACTGATATTAGGCTCTATTTAGGGCAAAAATTGATCAGGAAACTCCCTCTTACACTCCCCCCAACCACATAGAGTCCATTAGTCATTTATTTCTTTAGAGATTTAAGTTTTTGTGAGTTTAAGTGTGAATTCTTTTCTAAGAGTTGTTAGAGAGGGAGAGAAGTGAGAGGAGGGAGAGAAGTGAGAGAGGGAGAGAAGTGAGAGGTTTCTTCTTCCTACATCTTCTAAGAGAGAAAGAGAGAAAGAGTAAAGAGAGAAAGAGTCTAAGAGAGACTACAAGGGATTTGTTTTGAGAAAGAGTTTCAGATAAGTGTTGTTTGTTTATTATTATTATATGAACTTTTTGTATATATTAAATTTATGTTTTGTTGTATCATTCTCATGAAGTCTCTCATGAAGTCTGAGTAGTTTCCCTTATCTTTCTT